CTTCATTTCACATTGTTGCAATTTAATTTTATTGTTACTGATATCCTTCTACACATTAATCTAATATTTCATTTGGTCCAAGAAGTCAGACACTGTGAATTATGCCCATCAGTCAAAATTTCATCCAATTTAACAACCTTGATATGATTTAGAATGTAGCCATAGCCCTATCTTTAAGATAATAATAATAGATAAAAATGTTTGGAAAACCCCAATAAAATAGATGCCAGGGTATGTTTGATAGCCTAAGTTTGCATCACCTATCTACCTCTTGGCCAGAAGAGAAAAGAAAACCTTCAGTGACCATCCTTCCCAACATCGCATCCAATGAGAGAGGAAAGATATTTCCTCTTATTAAAGTCAGGGTGCTTTACCACGTGATCTTAACCACTCATACAGAGACAGCTACACTGATTTTGGGGCCAGGGTATTATGTGTGAGCTTACCTGTGACTACTTATTCAAGAAAGCTTTCTCAGCAGATGATGCCACAGAACTCAGACTGCCTTCTCCTTCCCGTTTTCTCAAATCCATGTAGAGACAAGGGAAGGTCAAGTGTAGAGCAAATGCTTAGGGGATGTGTTGGGTGGGGCCATGCTCAAAGTTCAGTGCAATGCACAAACAACTCACTTGTTGCCAAGTGAACAAGCAACAACCAACCATGAACTCAAAATACTCTAGGAAAACTTCAAAATATACCCCTTGTGAATGAGGGATTCCAAAAAATCTTAGGAGGCAGGAATCCTGCTGGCACCCCCCATGCGCTACAGCCATGGCCCACTGTAATAAAAGATCGTCCCTACCATGCATCTGTACTGCCTAAAAGCACCTGAGAGAGGGACTTTCCACCTTTGACAAGAGCGGGTAGGCTTAATGAGTTAATGTTTTCAAATGCTTTCTGAGCTCTTTGATGGGAGCAGCTGTGCCACTATAAAGCAGCCTTTCATCTCCAGGACTGAAATAGTCTCTCTTTCTACCCCCTCTATCCAGCTAAGCCTAACCAACCTCAACAAGTTCACGCTCTCCAAGACAAAAGGAAAGGGAACAGCTCACACAGAATGTGGCCTCTGATCCTGTCTTCCTTTGCCTAATGCACCCTGGCTAATTTTTCCCTAACAGTATCATCAGCGGCACATGTGGCCCTGCTGCAATGCTCTGTGCCATTTGAAAAACAGGAGAAACCCTTCTGCTGGAAAATGAATGCAAATAGATTCTAGTCAATAGGAAGAGCTCAATTAGAGCAAGTTCAGCACACTTCAAAGGTGTTGCTATTTTCTTGCTGGCTTATCCCACTCAGCCATTTTGAGTGGCTCGACCTTGGGAGCTGGCTGGCTACAAGGGCTGTTCTAGACAACTCTGTAACTGGACCAGCAAACTTCCCACCATCCTGGATGTCTTTTGCAAGCCAGAAGAGGGGGAAAACTCCTTATTTCAGTTCAGAGCCACATTTCTCCTCTTGCACACCCCAGCACCTCCATCAGAACACTGAGGGCAACTCAGTGAAGACCTGTGCCTTGGCCACTGGTCTGAAAGGCCCTGGGGTATAGCAGCACCCAGGTCATCACAGCCACCTGCAGGAAGTCAGCTGCTTCTTCAATCTGCAAGGAACAGACTCCTTCCCAGGAGACCTCAGGTAATGAGGTGTTAAGAGTATAAGAGCCGGGGAAGTGAGGCAGAACAGGAAACATGGCCCATACGCTAAGCACTGTTTTCTGGGTTCAGATCTTGGCACTAACTACCTATCAGCTGTGCAATCTTGCAAAGATTACTTAACAATCCTGCAGCTAGGTGCTATTGTCATCCCTGGTTTATAAAGGAAACAAAGGCCGAGGTGGGTGGATCACTTGAGGTCAGGAGTACAAGATCTGGCCAACAGAGTGAAACCCCATCTCTATAAAGAATACAAAAAAATCAGCCGGGTATGGTGGTGCACATCTGTAATCTTAGGTACTCAGGAAGCTGAGGTGGGAGGATTGCATGAACTCAGGAGGCAGAAATTACAATGAGCCGAGATCATAACACTGCACTCCAGCCCAGGTGACAGCGAGAAGACTGTCTTCAAAAAAAAAAAAGGAAAAAAATCCTCTCAATATCTCAAAGCCTTAGGAAGAAAGAAAACTATTTAGCACAGTAACAGGTGTACAGTAAGCATTCAATAAATGCTTGCTAATGATATGCCTTCTGCTGCTGTTAGTAATACCGACGTGCTGGAAAATGTTGAGAGGAACTCTGAAAAAGAGCTAGTGGTCAGAATTTTCAGGAAAAGCTGCCTACATCCTCCTCTGTGAGTTTCATAAGGCACATTTCTGTGGTACTTTCTCAGGACTTTTAATGTGTTAAAGACAAGTTTAACTTTGAGAAACACTGAATTAAATAAATTTTTTTATATATTTTTGCTACAAAGAACATCTGTAGATAGATCAAGATGGCCAAATAGAGGAATCTACCACTCATCTCCTTCAAACAACCGACAAAAACAACATAAATAACTGTACTTTGAGTAAAGTGACTAAAGGAAAACACTGGAAGTGACAACAACTCTCTTAAGCATGAAAACTTGGAAAGCTAGCATAGGGAGGGAAGCGAAACACCTGGCCAGGATCTGCTCGGGGCCAAGGGAAAGGTAAGCAGGGGATCCCCCATGGTCTCCACAGTCACTGAGGCTGCCTGCAATCCCAGCTACAGGCTAGCCCCACAGTCCCCATAGGTCTTGAGTGCAGTGGAGGAAAATACCTTGAGTCCACAAGGTCACATTGCTCCAGAGAAGGGATGCATGCTGAGTCACCCCCACCTCCAAGAAGTCAAGCACAGTTCCACAGTGGGACAGAGTCACTGCGGGAGCGCATTCTGCCCTGGAGGCCATTAGCCGCTATATATACATCTCCATGTCCCTGGGCCCCTGCCATCATTCTACTGTGCCCACAAAAAAGGCTGAGTGCTGTGATCCCAGCTAGACCCAATGGTGCAGTTATCATCCCTGCCCCCAAGCCCATGCAGTGCTCTACACTCCAGGGAGCAGGCAGAGCACACAGAGGACAGGATGCCCCAGAACTAGGGGAGCCAGTGTACATGTTGAGCAGAGACTTAGAGCTGACCACCTCGCATCTGCCACCATCAACAACCCCTCCAGTGGCGGAGGTGCTGCACATGTGTGCACATCCTCCAGGAACTAAAGTGCAGCCAGTGCAGTGATTCCCATCACAGACGGCCACACCTCCTCCAGAGGTGGAGCTGCTGGATGCCATGTGTCCACAAGGAGCGGCCCATCTGGTGCCTACCAATGCAAGTAACCCCACCCACTCCAGGGCCAGAGCCACCCCATGCCATGCACATCCCCCAGAAACCAAGGAATGACCTGTCCAGCACTGCCAGCATCCCCACTCCCAAAACCAGTGGAGCCACTGTGCCAGGCGCATCCCCCCAGGGCCTGAGAACCACCTTGTCCTGCAACCCCCCTCAATCACAAGCAATGCTGCACCACTGCCTTTACAAATACCCGCAATTTAAGATTCTGAGGAAATCTCAGACACTGCTGGCATTAATTACAGTCAAAGAAATCAGACAGGGGCTACATTATGATGCCCACCTAGAACAAAAGCCAAAGCACCCTACCCAATAGACACCATAGGAAACGTCTATAGGAAAAGGTATTTCTCCACAAAAGTGACTCCATATATTTGGAAGACGTGACTATACTCCACCAGATGTGCAGATATCAGTGTAGGAACCAAAGAAACATGAAAAAACAAGTAAACATAACACATCCAAAGAGCACAACTCTCCAGTAATAGACACTATAGAAAAAGAAATCTATAAAATGACTGAAAAGGGATTAAAATAATATCAAGGAAACTCAGTGAGATATAAGGGAACACAAAATCAGAAAAACAATTTGCAATCCAAATAAAACATTCAACAAAAAGATATAAAGAAGAACCAAGCAGAAATCCTGGAGCTAAATAACTAAATGAATGAGATAATCAAGAGCTTCAACAATAGACTGAGCAAAAGAAAAAAAAAATTCTGAACTTGAAGACGAGTATTCTGAAATAACCTAGTCAGACCAAAGAATAAACAGGGTGGGAAGAGAATTAAAAGAATGAAGACAGTGAAGAAAGCCTACATGACATATGGCACACCATCAACTGAGTAAATATTCAAAATTTAGGAGTTCTAGAAGTAAAAGAGATTTAAAAAACTATTCAATAAAATAATAGCTAAACTTTTTTGTTCCCTCAGGATGGTAGATTGGAGGCTTTTAACATGCCTCAGCCACTTGGAAATAGTAAAATAGTGAGTAAAGACCAATTCTGAAGTTTTAATTTAAGAAGGAAAATGTTTGGCCGGGCGCGGTGGCTCAAGCCTGTGGTCCCAGCACTTTGGGAGGCCGAGGCGGGTGGATCACGAGGTCAGGAGATCGAGACCATCCTGGCTAACACGGTGAAACCCCGTCTCTACTAAAAATACAAAAAACTAGCTGGGCGTGGTGGCGGGCGCCTGTAGTCCCAGCTACTCGGAGGCTGAGGCAGGAGAATGGCGTGAACCCGGGAGGCGGAGCTTGCAGTGAGCCGAGATCGCGCCACTGCACTCCAGCCTGGGCGACACAGCGAGACTCCGTCTCAAAAAAAAAAAAAAAAAAAGAAGGAAAATGTTAATTCACCAGAATAGTGAAGAATACCCCAAATCCCTTTGAGAAAAAGGTAGGCAAGCAGCCTTTGTGATAGCGTTTGGCTGATAAACATGAGTGAAGCCCCTGTACATGAAAGGAGCAAAGAGTTTTCCTCTATGACTCACCTTTCCACTTGGGATCTGTGCAACCCATGCCAAGAAAGAGCACCCTGATTCTCCCAAGCCCTGGAACTACCATGAGGAGAGGCTGAGAGACACCGAGAGGGAAAGATATTGGAAAAAGTTGCATGTATTTTCCCAACCTTGGACCAAGGGGAAGATGTCACTTTTAATCCACACTAACACAAAGTCAGTCATTGTTTGGTGACCTAACAATGCAGCCATGCAGGCATTTTAGTCTCAGACTAGAGACTGGAGCCCTTGCTTTGGAGTGGGGTAGAAGCCTTCCAGCCGAAATGGAGCAGCTAGTGCGGAAAGTGCCCCAGCAGTAAGTACTGGAATTGGGCAATTTCCCTCTACGGGACTAGAGTGGGAGGAGGGTTGCTGAAACTGTGGTTTCCTCTGAGAGGTGAGACTTGCAGCCAAGAGCAGCTTTGTAACCTGGAACTGGTCTGCGTGTCATTGCTTGGAGTTCAAGCATTCTCCCCTGAGACCATGGTGTAGCAGGGCCCTCTATACTCTATGCCCAGGCCGATCTCCAGGCATTTGAAGCACTCACTTCCCTACATTAGCAGCCTAAGCTGCCCCACGCTTGCTAAGCAGATCATTTGGTACAGTGGGGCTCTGTTTCACACCCAGGCAGATCTCCAGGCATAAGTAAGGAGCACCCATCTTCCTGGATTAGTAGCCTAAGCTACTTCATCCCTTCTATGCAGAGACCATGGTGGAGCAGGGTCAACTCCACTCCTTGCCCAGGCAGATCTCCAGGCATATGGAGCATCCACTTGGCTGGATCAGCAGCCTGAGCCACCCCAACCTTCTTCTGCAGAGACCATGGTGCAGCGAGGCTGTCTCTGCTCCACAGTCAGAGATCTCCAGGCACTCAGAGAACCCACTCACTTGATTTGCTTGAGCTGCCCACCCCACTTTCCTACAAAGACCTTATTGTACAACTAATTACTCCACTCTTCACCAGTAGATATATTTCCAGGCAATCAAATACCCACTCACCTAGATTAGTAGCCTGAGCTGTCTCTCCCTTCCCCTGCAAAGACCTTGTTGCAGCTACAGTTTTTCCAAGGCAAACTTTCAAGTATGCAGCATGCTTGCTCCCCCGGATAGGAGCCTGAGCCACCCCTCCCTTCCCATGCTGAGATCTTGGTGCAGTGGCACATTCTGTGCCCCATGACTGGACATGTCTCCAGGCCTTCAGTGCACCTGTCTCCTGGAATAGAAGTATGAACTGTTACACCTTCCCACACAAAGAAATTAGTATAGCATTACTCCCTTCACTTCACATTCAGATATAACTCCAGGTATTTGTCACACCTGCTCCCATGGATAAGGAGTTTCAGCTACCCCTTTGTCACAAGTAAAGACTTTGTAGCGGCAGCAGTTTCTCTGCTCCTTCCCCAGGCATATCATCTGACACCGGGCATACCTGGGATGGGAGGAGCTTGACCCACTCCTCCCATTCCCTGCAAAGACCTTGTTTGAACAGCAGTTTCTCGACTCCCTCCCAGAGCATGTGGCACACCTGCTTGCCTTAATGAGGAGCCTGAGCTGCCCTTCCCTTCAGGTGCAGAGACCTTAGTACAATGGTACTCTTTCATCTTGATGCTCAGACATACCTTCAGGCATTTGGAGCACCCAGTCGTCTAGATTAGGAGTTTAGGGCATTCCTCTCTCCCTTCCAGAAACTTGGGGCAGGGAAAGTTTTCCAATTCCATGTCTAGACATATCTCTGAGTCCTTGGCAGCTTCCACTGCACCTCCTCAGAGCTCGTGCTTGTAACTGTCATTAGGGGACCTGAAGGTTCGTCTGCCTAGTTTGGCCCTGCCCATATTGGTGCCCCTACCTGGGACTGAGCAGGGAACTCAGATTGTGCATTCCACAGATCAGGCCCTTGTTTGAGGCAAGAGAGAGCTTCCTCCACTAAATAAGGATCAAGTATATACCTGTCAAGTTTGGATGCAGCCAGCTGTTACCCATAAGCATCACCTACTGGTCTGGAGGTTGAAAGATAAAACATAACAAGAAATCTGAAACAGGTGCACAGTACTGGGGAACAAGGTAAGCTTCCTAAGACCTCTACTACCCTGGCCAGAGAAGGGGTCAATGAGCCTGCTCATATGCCCAGTATATAGTTACTGCAACCAGCATTTAGTAAAGTTGCCAAATAAAAGCTATCTAAAACCATGGAACTTAATGTAGACTATTTGGTACTAAAAACACCCGGAACCAAAGCCATAGGACCCTACATAACAACATATATTATAGATACCTTCTTCAGGGGTGGAAAAAAGATGCCATCCAAACAAAAGCAAACCCAAAAAAGGAAAGATAGTTTATCCACATGAGAAAGAACCAGAGAAACAATTCTAAAAGTATGAAATAAAAAAGTATTACAACACCCACAGAGTGAAACAGTAACTCTCCAGAAACAGAACCTAACCAAGATAAAATCTAAATACTAGGTAAACAATTCAAATTATTTATTTTATTTTGTACTTTTCTGAGACAGAGTCTCACTCTGTTGCCCAGGCTGGAATGCAGTGGCACAATCTTAGCTCACTGCAACCTCCACCTGCCAGGTTAAAGAAATCTTCTTGCCTCAGCCTCCTAAATAGCTGGGACTACATGTGCACACCACCACGCCTGGCTAATTTTTGTATTTTTAGTAGAGACAAGGTTTCACCATGTTGGCCAGGCTGGTCTTGAAAACCTGACCTCAAGTGATCCACCTGCCTCAGCCTCCCAAAGTGCTGGGATTACAGGCATTAGCTACTGTACCTACTGTACCTGGCCTCAAATTACTCATTTTAAAGAAGCTCAGTGAAATCCAAGAGAAAGCTTAAAACCAACATAAAAGAAATCAGATTAGCAAGTCAAGACATAAAAAAAAGAGATAGGCTTCATTAAGGAAAAAACCAAACAGAACTCCTGGAAATAAAAAATTCATTGTAGCAGTTACAATATACAGTTGAAAGCTTTAACAATAGGCTAGAACAAGTAGAAGAAATCATTTCAGAGTTGTATGATAGGTCTTTCAAACTTACCACACAGATGAAAAGAAAGGAAATAAAAGAATTTAAACAAATCAACAAAGCCTTCAAGAAATATGTTATGTAAACCAGCCAAAGCTACGAGTTGTAGGTATTACAGAGGAAGAAGAAAAAAAAGCTAAAAATATAAAAAACATATTTGAAGAAATAATTCAAGAAAATTTCTCTGGTTTTGTGAGATAGATAGATAGATAGATAGATAGATAGATAGATAGACAGATAGATAGATAGATAGACAGACAGACAGACAGACAGACAGACAGACAGACAGACATGCCATCCAGGTAAAAGAAGATCAGAGAACTCCTGGAAAACACATTGCAAGAAGAAATATACTAAGACATAAAGTCGTAAGACTATCCAAAGGCAATGTGAAGGAAAAAATTCTAAGAGTAGTAAAAGAGAAAGGTCTAATCAGCTATAAAGGAAATGCCATAAGACTAAAAGCAGACTATTCAGCAGAAACTTTACAAGCCAAAAAAACTGGGGGCCTTTTAGCTTCCTTAAAAAAAAAATGCCAGCCAAGAATCTTACATCCTGCCAAGCTAACCTTCACAGATGAAGAAGTATTTCCCAAACACTGAGGAAATTTGTAAAAATTAAAATGGCCTTTCAAGAAATACTCAAAAAGTTCTAGACATGAAAATAAAAGGGTGGGGCGGAGCAAGATGGCCGAATAGGAGCAGCTCCAGTCTCCAACTCCCAGCGCCAGTGACACAGAAGACCGGTGATTTCTGCATTTTCAACTGAGGTACTGGGTTCATCTCACTGGGGAGTGCCGGACGATCGGAGCTGGTCAGCTGCTGCAGCCCGACCAGCGAGAGCTGAAGCAGGGCGAGGCATTGCCTCACCTGGGAAGCGCAAGGGGGAAGGGAGTCCCTTTTCCTAGCCAGGGGAACTGAGACACACAACACCTGGAAAATCGGGTAACTCCCACCCCAATACTGCGCTTTAGGAGACAGGCACACCAGGAGATCATATCCCACACCTGGCCGGGAGGGTCCCACACCCACGGAGCCTCCCTCCTTGCTAGCGCAGCAGTCTGTGATCTACCGGCAAGGCAGCAGCGAGGCTGGGGGAGGGGCGCCTGCCATTGCTGAGGCTTAAGTAGGTAAACAAAGCTGCTGGGAAGCTCGAACTGGGTGGAGCTCACAGCAGCTCAAGGAAACCTGCCTGTCTCTGTAGACTCACCTCTGGGGACAGGGCACAGTAAACTAAGACACACAGACACCTCTGCACAGACGCAAACGACTCTGTCTGACAGCTTTGAAGAGAGCAGTGGATCTCCCAACACGGAGGTTGAGATCTGAGAAGGGACAGACTCCCTGCTCAAGCGGGTCCCTGACCCCTGAGTAGCCTAACTGGGAGACATCCCCCACTAGGGGCAGTCTGACACCCCACACCTCACAGGGAGGAGTACACCCCTGAGAGGAAGCTTCCAAAGCAAGAATCAGACAGGTACACTCGCTGTTCAGAAATATTCTATCTTCTGCAGCCTCTGCTGCTGATACCCAGGCAAACAGGGTCTGGAGTGGACCTCAAGCAATCTCCAACAGACCTACAGCTGAGGGTCCTGACTGTTAGAAGGAAAACTATCAAACAGGAAGGACACCTACACCAAAACCCCATCAGTACATCACCATCATCAAAGACCAGAGGCAGATAAAACCACAAAGATGGGGAAAAAGCAGGGCAGAAAAGCTGGAAATTCAAAAAATAAGAGCGCATCTCCCCCGGCAAAGGAGCGCAGCTCATCGCCAGCAACGGATCAAAGCTGGACGGAGAATGACTTTGACGAGATGAGAGAAGAAGGCTTCAGTCCATCAAATTTCTCAGAGCTAAAGGAGGAATTACGTACCCAGCGCAAAGAAACTAAAAATCTTGAAAAAAAAGTGGAAGAATTGATGGCTAGAGTAATTAATGCAGAGAAGGTCCTAAACGAAATGAAAGAGATGAAAACCATGACACGAGAAATACGTGATAAATGCACAAGCTTCAGTAACCGACTCGATCAACTGGAAGAAAGAGTATCAGCGATTGAGGATCAAATGAATGAAATGAAGCGAGAAGAGAAACCAAAAGAAAAAAGAAGAAAAAGAAACGAACAAAGCCTGCAAGAAGTATGGGATTATGTAAAAAGACCAAATCTACGTCTGATTGGGGTGCCTGAAAGTGAGGGGGAAAATGGAACCAAGTTGGAAAACACTCTTCAGGATATCATCCAGGAGAACTTCCCCAACCTAGTAGGGCAGGCCAACATTCAAATCCAGGAAATACAGAGAACGCCACAAAGATACTCCTCAAGAAGAGCAACTCCAAGACACATAATTGCCAGATTCACCAAAGTTGAAATGAAGGAAAAAATCTTAAGGGCAGCCAGAGAGAAAGGTCGGGTTACCCACAAAGGGAAGCCCATCAGACTAACAGCAGATCTCTCAGCAGAAACTCTACAAGCAAGAAGAGAGTGGGGGCCAATATTCAACATTCTTAAAGAAAAGAATTTTAAACCCAGAATTTCATATCCAGCCAAACTAAGTTTCATAAGTGAAGGAGAAATAAAATCCTTTACAGATAAGCAAATGCTTAGAGATTTTGTCACCACTAGACCTGCCTTACAAGAGATCCTGAAGGAAGCACTAAACATGGAAAGGAACAACCGGTACCAGCCATTGCAAAAACATGCCAAAATGTAAAGACCATGGAGGCTAGGAAGAAACTGCATCAACTAATGAGCAAAATAACCAGTTAATATCATAATGGCAGGATCAAGTTCACACATAACAATATTAACCTTAAATGTAAATGGACTAAATGCTCCAATTAAAAGACACAGACTGGCAAACTGGATAAAGAGTCAAGACCCATCAGTCTGCTGTATTCAGGAGACCCATCTCACACGCAGAGACATACATAGGCTCAAAATAAAGGGATGGAGGAAGATTTACCAAGCAAATGGAGAACAAAACAAAGCAGGGGTTGCAATACTAGTCTCTGATAAAACAGACTTTAAACCATCAAAGATCAAAAGAGACAAAGAAGGCCATTACATAATGGTAAAGGGATCAATTCAACAGGAAGAGCTAACTATCCTAAATATATATGCACCCAATACAGGAGCACCCAGATTCATAAAGCAAGTCCTTAGAGACTTACAAAGAGACTTAGACTCCCATACAATAATAATGGGAGACTTCAACACTCCACTGTCAACATTAGACAGATCAACGAGACAGAAAGTTAACAAGGATATCCAGGAATTGAACTCATCTCTGCAGCAAGTAGACCTAATAGACATCTATAGAACTCTCCACCCCAAATCAACAGAATATACATTCTTCTCAGCACCACATCGTACTTACTCCAAAATTGACCACGTAATTGGAAGTAAAGCACTCCTCAGCAAATGTACAAGAACAGAAATTATAACAAACTGTCTCTCAGACCACAGTGCAATCAAACTAGAACTCAGGACTAAGAAACTCAATCAAAACCGCTCAACTACATGGAAACTGAACAACCTGCTCCTGAATGACTACTGGGTACATAACGAAATGAAGGCAGAAATAAAGATGTTCTTTGAAACCAATGAGAACAAAGATACAACATACCAGAATCTCTGGGACACATTTAAAGCAGTGTGTAGAGGGAAATTTATAGCACTAAATGCCCACAAGAGAAAGCAGGAAAGATCTAAAATTGACACTCTAACATCGCAATTAAAAGAACTAGAGAAGCAAGAGCAAACACATTCGAAAGCTAGCAGAAGGCAAGAAATAACTAAGATCAGAGCAGAACTGAAGGAGATAGAGACACAAAAAACCCTCCAAAAAATCAATGAATCCAGGAGTTGGTTTTTTGAAAAGATCAACAAAATTGACAGACCACTAGCCAGACTAATAAAGAAGAAAAGAGAGAAGAATCAAATCAACGCAATTAAAAATGATCAAGGGGATATCACCACCGACCCCTCAGAAATACAAACTACCATCAGAGAATACTATAAACACC